TTAAATAGAATTCGTGCCTCATATCGAATTTACCGAGTATCATAATTCCTCCAGGTGGTAAAGATACCTCGAGACAAGTGCTGGGCATAGAAGCCACAGGGCATAAATCTGCAAAGAAGTAAAAAGCTAACCTTTGCAAACAATATGGCTTCTCTCTCACTTACCAACTTTACATTTCCCTGTATGGCCCCGGAAGATGACTGGTTAGCCAGAGACGGGTAAGATTCCTCAAGGGAGGAACAACCTAAGACAGGCACAGTCGCAGGGGGGCCATCAGGTGAGAATTTGGGGATCAACAGAGGTGAGGCTCAGAACCTCACCCCCCCTGCTTTGAGAGAAATCTTCTGCATCCGTGGATGTCTTGCTGCCCTTGTCTAGCCTGGATTAATACTTAGTCCATAGGCACACACCTGATCATCTGATCATCTACATTTGCCCTCTTACAGCACTAAACTATGTTTTCTACCTTTATCTTGCATCTACCTACCACTTCAGCATTTTATTAAAAATAAAAATAATAATAATAATAAAGGGAGAAATGTGGGATCCACATATAAATGAAGTATAAAAATCAAATGAATATTCATATTTGACCTGATTGTTTATAGTTCATAATGCATAATCAAAACTGAAAGTTTCTGTGACGACTGCCCTTGTACTGTTCACCATGTAAGAACTTATTCACTATGTAAGAATTTGTTCACCATGTAAGAACTTGTTCGTTATGCTTCAGAAGATTGGAGACTGACGAGAATTAGGCTTGGAGTGGATTAATGATTGTGCATTGAGCATTGAGTCCACTATACAGAATTTTATTGTTGTTAACAACCATTTGATCAATAAATATGAGATGCCCTCTCAAAAAATAAAAAACAAAAAAAAGAAATTAAAAAAAAATGGGCAGAGGAGCTAAACAGACACTTCTCCAAAGAAGAAATTCAGATGGCCAACAGACACATGAAAAGATGCTCTACATCGCTAGTCATCAAAGAAACGCAAATTAAAACCACAATGAGATATCACCTCAAACCAGTAAAGATCGCCACCATCCAAAAGACACGCAACAGCAAATGTTGGCGAGGTTGTGGAGAAAGGGGAACCCTCCTTCACTGCTGGTGTGAATGTAAATTAGTGCAGCCATTGTGGAGAGCAGTAGGGAGATTCCACAAAAAAACCCTCAAAATAGAAATACCATTTGACCCTGGAATTCCACTCCTATGCACCTCTATGTTTATCACAGCTCTATTTACAATAGCCAAGAAATGGAAGCAACCTAAGTGTACATCAGTAGATGAATGGATAAAGAAGATGTGGTACATGTGCACAATGGAGTATTATGTTCAGCCATATGAAGAAAACAAATCCTACCATTTTCAATAACATGGATGGAGCTATAGGTTATTATGCTCAGTGAAATAAGCCAGGCAGAGAAAGATTAAGTATCAAATCATTTCACTATCTGTGGAGTATGAGTAAAGGAAAAACGTAAGGAACAAAACAGCAGCAGACTCACAGAACAAGAATGGACTAACAGTTACTGAAGGGAAAGGGACTAGGGAGGATGGGTGGGAAGGGAGGTATATGGGGCAAAAGGGGTATTATGATTTGCACACATAATGTAGGGGGAGGTTACGGGGAAGGCAGTATAGCACAGAGAAGACAAGTAGTGATTCTATAGCAGCTTACTATGCTGATGGACAGTGACTGTAATGGGGTATGTGGTGAGGACTTGATAATGGGGGGAATCTAGTAACCACAATGTTGTTCATTTAAGTTTATACTAATGATACCAAAAAAAAATATGATAGAAGAATGGTTCTCTTTGGATCTGTATTATTTACTGAAGTATATTCCATAAAATACTAATTCTAAGGAATGTTATTAGGTATTATATAGAAAAAAACTAGTTTTGTGGCCATGTTAGTCAGGGAGATAAAGGGTTAACAAAACTAAGCAGGCTTCCTGTGCAGAATCTCACAGAACATTTAATATGTTTTGTGGACAGTGATTCCCCCAAAAGGGAGGGAGTATACTTTGTCTTTCATTGCCCATGAGCCCCTGCCTCCCTTCTCCATCTTCCTAGGGTGTTCTGTAGGACTTGAGTTCCTTGAACACATTTGGAAATGCTGGCTTACTTTAGCATTCAAAGCACTAGCCAACTTTTCTAAAATGTAGTTTCTACCTGCCCCCAACTTGAACCCGTGGATCTGGTTGGGTGCTTATCTTCTACATATGCTTTGTGTATAAGGTAGGAAGTGAGTTCTAGACAGAGATTATAGGAGTGAGTGATACCTCTCTAATCTGTCTAGTACTCCCTCCCTCCCTTATGCTAACGTTGCAGCTTGGAGCTCAATCATCTTCCATGTCTCTCAGGACTGCTGCAATCCTCTTTCCTCACTAGGAGGTTTTAACATAAACTGGGCACCTGTCCCAACCTATCTTATCTTGTTGAAATGCTTTACAGTTGAAATGTATCTCACTACCCAGTGATTTCTAAATTGTGCACACCAGAATCTGAAGGGCCTCAGGGTGCTCCTGCCACAAGGACCAAGTGAAGGAGAGGAAGACTGACGCGACTCTAAGCCCTCTGCCCCTCTTCGGTCAGTGCAGCTCTGCTTTTAATTGTTTTACATACTGGGTTCTGAATGTGATTTCATTTGAAGAGATCTGTGGCAAAAACAGATGGAAAGATTAAAAAGGAAGGAAAGAAGGGAGAGGAAGAGGGAGGAAGAAAAGCTTCCTCTTTCTTTTTTCCAGATAAGAGTAGCTGATACATATATTTTACATATAAATGTATCTTTTATATATATATATATATATATATATATATTT